TGTAGACCTTGTAATACACCGCAGTGTTTATAGGGCTACAATCTCCGACACTGTCATTGTACACAAGCGACCGCGGCGGAAGAATTTGCGATGGTCGTTTCGTACTGGAGTTAGACTTTTGGAAAACTGAGACATGCAGGCGTTTCCTGTATTTTTGAAGAGGAGATACTGCGATCCCCCCCGCACCGTAAAGGGAGTCCAGACAAAGGATTTTGAAGCTGGCTCTACTTTAATATTTAATCCAATGAGTATGAAAATAGAGAGTAACCTTCCCGCCGGAAGTATTTGTTCCATTCTATTGTCATCGGTGGAGGACGGGTCGTGCGTGTTGGCACGTTCAGGTTAACGGAAAGAAGGTCGCAGCAGCCTCTGAAAACAGTCCGAAATCTGCGCCGGAACCAAGCATTCTCCAACTTTGTCACAGCCGTGCTCACCACCACGGACCGCAAACCCCTGAACGGAGGGTTGTCAGCAGTAGCTAATAGTGGCATCAGCTACTGCTGTAAACCCGCAGTTCAGGAGATGGGGGTCAGCGGCGGCGAGCACAAGCAGCAATACTGGATGTCGGTCTAATTTGCGGAGATTTGCGGAGATTGCAATCCACCACTGTATGCATACAACCCTCGATACCACCACCACAGAAGCAAATTTGAGCGCGCCAACAACCCCCCTGTGGACCCCGTGCCTCCCCACGGAAGGTACCGTGCCCAAAACATAGTTCCAACCTACGCCCGCAAACCTTTTTCACGCCGTGATTTTACTTTCAGCTCGAGATTTGCTTCACCATGCCGATTGGTTGCTGTTGCGAAAACCCTGTTCTTCAACTCTCGTGGTGGCCAACTTCCGCAGGCCGTCGCTGTCCGAAAACGTGACTACGTACTCCGCGACTTCGCCACACGGCAGAAGGATAACCACAGAACTCAATGCAAACATGTAGAATTTTGTATCAGCATCATATCGCTCGCCATGAGCCTGCAAAGGCCATCTAGAATCGATACCAACTGTCTCTAAACGCGAGTAGTTGGCAGCGGCGCAAATAGCGCGTGGAAAAAAAACGGACACGTCTCCATCTTTACGTCCTCATGGAGCCTCTGGCCAGACTTTGCAGCGCTGTCGCGGTCCAGAAAGTACATGACAATCACTGGCGTTCGAGGGCGGTGTAGTGTAGGCACCACAGATTGCGAGCCCGTCATTTCAAATTTTGGATCGACACAACAGCGAGAGCTGTTAAAAAAAAAATCCTACCCCATACAAAAAAAAGTGTAGGCGGCACCATAGTTTAGTTCGCTTTGTCAGGAATAATAAAAGGCCCTTTTTTTCTGTGGGCTGCAACGCAGGTGCATCCTATGAAGGGGGAGCAGCAAAGTGATTTTGACGCTGGCTCGTTTCTCATGCTTCAATCCCATATTGTATAGAAAGAAAAAAACTTTCCCGCCGGACTTACCTTTGGGTTACTGTCCATCAGTAGAGGACACCATGAAGAGACGTCGTGCGTACTGGCGCGTTCCGGTTTGCTACTTGAGCTGAAATATTGCAGGTCGCAGCAGCCTCTGAAAACCGTTCGAAATCTGCGCCGGAACTAAGCTGACTCCAACATTTGTCACAGCCGTGCTCACCGCCACGGACCGTAAACTCCTGAGTGGGTTGTCAGCAGTAGCTATTTAGTGGCATCAGCTACTGCTATAAACCCGCAGTTCAGCAGATGGGGGTCAGTGGCGGTGAGCACAAGCAGAACAACGCTGGATGTCGGTCTAATTTCGGAGATTGTAGGCCAACACTATGCAAACGGCCCTCGATATCACCACCACAGAAGCAGATTTGAGCGCGCCAACAACCCCCTCCCGCTCCAATAGGATGTCCTCTGGTTGTATGTGTCCTGTGCACCAGGTTCCTGGCAACACCGACCGTATTTGAGCGCCTGCCGTCTTGACTCTGTCGCCTTGAATTTAGAATGGAGTGAATTTTAATGTTGATTCAACGGAAACGTGTGGAGGTAGACGTGTGAAATGTATGTTTTTGAGCAGCCTCTACTGCCGCCCTGTGCGCGAATCGATTACTTCTGTTGTCTGCGGTGCCTTCCTACTGGTCTGTTGTGTCTGTCGTACAAGTTCTGGTGCTCGTGCGTTTGTTTTCAACATCAGTCAACATTATACATCGTTGTCTGCCATCCCTTAACGAAGAACCAAAAAACAAATTCAAGAAAATTAAACTCAAAATCGAGCTCTGATTGGTCGGCAAATTGCTACCTCCTGGCGACGCCCTTTGATTTTGAGCAAGTTCCTTCCTGTGGAAAAAAGTCCCCAGTACTTCCTTAGCGTTGTTGGATCAACATCAGCATCGAAAAGGCTTGGAGCATCTGCCGCGAGGCCGCTGCCACAGGACATGCCGTACACTGTTCATAGACAGGCTATCGTAACCTCTCCACCGAGACCATGGCTATTCCTTGTAGCCGGAAGACTCCGCTCACCGGCCAGTCTAAACCGGGCCGGCGCGTTGGGTTCTCGATGTTAGAATGCCGATCGTCACAAGTGGTGACGAGACCCATGATCAAACGGGGCTGACGCGGCTTTTTCGGGCTTTTCCGCTCTAGAGAGAGAGGGTAGTTGCAATTTTTTTCCACACTTACGATACCTCAACGCATCTGGCCTTGTACAAGAAAGATGACGGGCAGAGCTACCTCCCTTGGTGGCACTGCTATTGTTGTTGCTCCCTCCCTCGAAAACATATCGGCGGAGAACCAAGGCCTTGGCAGTCTAAAGAAAGCGAAAAATACCAAACTTGAACCAACCGCTCTCGAACCGTGGACTTTTGGGGTCAGCACAAACGTTTTTTAGTGCGCATTCGGCCTCTCACGGCGCCAAACCTTGGCATAATTCCACAGTCCGTGGCATCAGCTCCTTCCGGATACCATTCTTGAGGCAACTCGTTCCTTGTTCGGTGAGATATCGGTGAACACGAGAACACAAGAACGCACAACTACTCTGGAAAAACGACGCTTGCTGCTGACTCTTCCCCTTGCGCCAGCTCTGTTTCATGCCTTGTCCGACTCGTGTTCTATCGCCGATACTATGGTCGGACCCTTTTTTTCAGTTTTCCACGATAAACGCATGTTGAATTAATCCGATATTGGACCCATTTCGAATGGTTTTTGATTCTTCGTTAATACAGGACCTGATCGCAGACCAAAACTAAAGAACAATAGTTGCTCCTCCACGTACGTCAAGAAATAGTCTCTCCTTATCATTACGCAGCGGTTGAAGAATTCCTCCGTTGGTATTTCTTGTTTTGTTGGGTCGATACATACATATGACATGTCGGTACGTTTTTTCTCCCTCCGACGTTCGCCGGGTGGGTATGTAAGAAATAGGGCGGGCGTTAGATTCCCCACCGCACTGTTGTCAAGGACGACCAAACTGACAACACCCATAAAACTCGGCATGTGTCCTCTATCGCGGTCCTTCGTTACCTTTGGCTGCCTACGCTATTATTTTACGCCGAAAACCGCTGATGTGCTGATAACAGATGATAATGATGACGACGATGCTTCAGAGAAAGATCGCAGTACAGTATGCACTGCGGTGCTGCTGTGGTGCTGTAGCGGGCCGCTTGGTTTTTCTTTCATTCTCGTGGTTTGGTCGAGATCGAGTATTCGCATGGCGCGTGGTTTTTCAAAGTGCCGTCGCGGAAAATGGCCAACCCGTCTTTGCAATTAGAAATAGACATATGCAGTTATGGAAAGGCCGACGTAGAGTAGATTGTGCCTCCCGCCTCCTCTGTCCTCCCTCTGTGCCGCGCTTGCGCCGGGGTCGTTCTTTTGAAGACATGGAGGATTGTGCGTTTTCAGTCGTTAGGGGACACACTTTCCCCTGAGGTTTCTTGGAAGCCTCTCCAAAAATGTAACCCGGCACTTACAATACAGTGTGTTCTGACGCACGCGTAGGCAAATACTCCTATAGGAAACTTTTGACATCGGTAGATGAGAAAATAACGCATCGAGTTAACCCACAATAAAGTGAAAAGCGCTACTTTAGCCAAAGCATATACTATATTACGTAAGACAGAGACATCTGATTGGACCATTGGTCACGCCGCTAGGGGAGAATCCCGGAATGTTACCGTTTTTTGAAAGAAAGCCTTTTGAAAGCCTGAGCACACCAGCAGCACACGATCTTGCTGTAGGCCAAGGGCCGCCAAAGGGACACGTCATAGGAGGCGTCGGGAGCGGTTTTTAGAGCCCTGCTGCTAGCAGCGTAAGCGAGGGGAGCCAAGTGCACACCCATGCGCGGTTTCTCCGACGTTTTCCCACAGCAGCAGCTTGTGAGAGCTTCGCCCACACCTAACAACGCTCTTCACTCGCCCCCGCGCTGCTACACAGCAGACGTCCTGGATAGACATGTGCCTGGTAGTGTCGGGTCTGTGTGATGGCGTAGGCTCCATCCGAATACCTATATCTGCGCTTGCTTGCCTCTCTCTCCCCTCCTGTTTTTTTGGTTTTTTCGCGCTTCGCGTAAAATATCCTAACTCTTTCAAAATAGGACGACCCCAACGTAAGGGAGGTGAGCCGGTTCATCATCCTCAAACAGTTCCTATAGCTTCAGCGCTTCAACAGCAGTAAACCCAGCAAGTTGTCAACAGACACTGCGATGTATTGATGTGAAGGCATGTGAAGGCAGAATTTACAACGCACGATACGGAGGGTTTCTCCCCGATATTCAGTAGAATACAACTACAGGGGATGGTTTGGAATGTTTATACCTAGGGGTTTGGCACTTCGCACGGCCGCCCACCCAAGTTGAGCGATTCGAAGGCAAAGGTAATGAGAGTCCAAATAACTAAGTTTAAGTTTATTGAAGTATCAAGAGATGGCGGGGGACATTGCATCATCTACATCTGGAGGAGTAAGACAGAGAGAGAGAGAGAGAGAGACTCACACGTGACGCCGCTCCTGCGATGCCTGACATGGTCACCCCCATAACGCACGCCGTTCTTCTGCATGACAGGAGAATGCAACCAATGAGTTGATCCGGACCTTCGAGACACGGGACGACGACGTGTTCGTGTGCACATTCTCCAAGTCGGGCACAACCTGGGTGCAGCAAATAATCACACTGGTGGGCCCGGAGAGGCATCAAGGCCGCATAGGGTTGTTTGGTGCTTTGCTGGCCCTCGCTGACCCTTGTTAGCCCCCCATGTAGTCGATACCGGGGGACGCCGTCTTTCAATCATCTCAAAGTGTGGAGCAACCCCTACAAGCGATGCGGAACCGAGCACTGAGTGAAAACATGTCCACCTTTACCTCAGGAAGCGTTGGTGTTTCTCCTGAAACTTGCTCAAGGCGTAGCCATGGTGTGTGCTGCTGCTTGTGGTGCCACCGTTTGTTCTACCGCTGCGGCCGTCACTGCCGCTTCTAACTCGGACCCCTAGAGAGGTACAACATGGCTTGTAGAGGCTCGTGGCGCTGTTTGAGCCAAACCTGCTTGCTGCATTCTATTTTCGTGTTTGTTCCTCTTGGCCATGACCGAACAGCTGCTCAACGGGGGTGTTCAGGGCGAGAAGTCCTACAGCGAAGCCGTCCCGTGGATGGAGTGGCTAACGTTTAAGTTCGGGGAGCACGAAGACCCTGCCATCCGGGACGCCGAGGTACGGTGGCGGCTCTGTCGTACCGTGGTGTAGCGTCTCGGCTGGCGTGGCGATGCGGCTCATGAGCGGTTTCATGGCATTAAGAGGATGGCAGGAGATAGATAAGATCGGCCAGGTGGCATTTTTGCCGTGTTGTGGTCCAGGCACCTCGGCAAAATCATATTACATCGTGGTTCCATTGAAACAGGGGACAGTGGAATGTTGCACGATTCCCGTGGTTTGTTCGCCTTTCGGTATGCTGGTATGCTCCAACCCTGATCATGGTATTCACTGACATTCCTTGACGCACACAACGCTCATCGAGTCGCTTGGCTCGCGGTGGTCTTCAACCTCTAATTCGCAAGTAGTTTCAAGCATGCACGCATCATCGCCGAACCATGGCAGAAGGTCGACACATGACGGTAAGAAGACGCCTTGCGGAGATTCGCTCTTGCGGCTGATTGGCTGGTCGGTTGTCCAACTGCTTCGCTGAAACACTTGGCAGGCCAAGGGCTGGACGCTCGCGACGATAAAATCCACTCCGGACAGACGATTTATGAAGACTCACGCCAACCTCAAAAACCTTCCTGCTGGATCGGCGAAGGGCCTCAAGGTCAGCACACAGTTGGCGTTCATAGTATGCTGGTCGTCGTGTTGCGTCAAGCACAAGTGTATCTGCGACGAGGCTGTTCCGCACCATGCGCAGACGCATCCTTTCGTTCGTCTCGTTTCATTTCATTGCTCGCTTCGTAAGGTCGCGCGATGAATACCGAGCCGTTGTCCAGTGGGTATCCTCCTACACCTACTAGCCCCAGGTGGTGGGTTTGAATCGCTCTTCTGGAGTGAACATGGTTCACCTCTGTGGTGCGAGTTACTCGCGAGTATTCCCCACAAGAGGGAAGGGACTGCTGGACCGTTTTCGTGTTATGACTCTAAAGCAAGCACCGCACGGGGGTGAGACAATGAGACAAGTCCCTGTGTCACCTTTCTCCCACGTGAACCTGGCTGATACGTCGAACACATTCCGAAAGGTGTAGACTGGCGCCTTAACATATGAGACGAACTCACTCAAAACTGCAACACTTTGCCATGAAGTACGATACCGGTCTTTGGTTGAAGGACGCGTTCGCATGTGCCCCGAAAATGCATGCCCGATATTTGTCGCTTGCTGGCACTTCTCTCGGTACCAGATTGCGGTGCCTCATGTAGGCAACCTATTCGGAATGTCATTTTGGCGACACGGCCACTCACGCGCGCACACGTAGTGCTTCGGGATCCCCCAACACCATTCCCCTTTCTCTTGGCTCCTTCCTGCCAAATTCAGGTGATCTACGTCGCACGAAACCCCAAAGACGTGTGCGTTAGCCTCTACCACCACGTCAAGAACAAGCGACCGGATACTTTCAGCGGAGAGTTTTCGGATCATATCCGCAGTTTTGTCGAGGGAAGGTGAGACGGAGAGCGAGATTTGCGTGCCGTGTATTCTCACCTCATCCGTGCTGGGCAGCGCTCACGCCTTTCGGCAAGTTTGGGCCCACCAGTCAGGGTCACACAGTAGGAAGGCCACGAATACACATTGAAGTGCCACGCCGGAGTTTTTTTTTTTATGTCTCAACCCTCCTTGTGCGGTGATTACATCGCCTCTTGTCGGTCTGAATGTTTGAAAGGGCGTGGTCCATATACCACGCTGTCCACTGTAGGTACGCATTCTGATCGATCCGGCCGCTACGGTGGGCCAGAGTTTATCTCGTAAACTAAGAACTAGAAGCAGGTTGTGAGCTAGCTCGATTCTCTCCTGGAGTGAAAATTCGTTCGGAGTTTGGGGTGGGAAACGTTTTCTTCGTAAGTTTACGCTCTTCGAAAAATCGCTGCCGAGGAGGAAGACCGACGGCTGACCTCTGCTCGCAATGAAAACTGGGACAAGCACGGAGCGGTGGGGCAACAACCCAACTCAAAATGTACAGGAGCTGTGGCCCCGGCTCATACGTCAACCATATCGCAAGACCACTCGGAAGGTTTGACGGATACTGAAGAAGAACGTCGTAAGGTGGCCAAAAATGCCCAGGCAGTGTTCCTTCACAGATGTTTCACACTATCGCTGGGTGCAGTCATGAACCCCCCATTGGCTTCGCTATTTAGCCACTCTTAAAGTGCTGTCGGGTGACGACACTGACAACTTTCGCACAACATGCTCTGTTAGCCCCCGGAGCGGCGGGCGACGACGAGTGTTGACGGTGAGAACCGACCAAGGGTCCAAACGACAGATGGTGCTCTTGGAAAACCCCTTTATCTGGTGGGCTGCAGCGATGTTTCTGAGTATTTCGGCCATTGACCGAGAGGTGCACGCCCGGGACTCGGCAATATCCAGAGGTTGGTATCACAGCTTGCCTCGGGCAACCGTGCTGGTCCTCGAAAAGTTTTTAATTATATTTTTGGTAATAGAGTAACTCGTTTCCACAAGGCGTTGCAACAGCGGAATTTCAGTTGAATATGACGTTAGTTTGTCATCACTAGTACTACCAGGTGACTCAAGGTGGTGTAGAGAGCACCGACGAGATAAAACTTCGCAGACAACCGATCAATACCTGTTTCAATCTGTGTGCGAAAGATGCTTGTACAATGTTGTTGCACCCTTTCCGACGACGTTTTATCAAAGAAGAAACCGGTTCAATAGGCACAGACGGACAGCCATTGGCTAATGCTCAAATCAATCTAATGAGGAGAGTACAGACGAGAACAAAACTCACATACTCCTGTTCTATATGCATGCAACCACGACAAATGGTGCTGCGTGTACGTGCGCTTTTGTTCTTGTTGCATCCTGCAGCACTATTTTCGATTATTTTCCGTCCAAACACGGCGGAATAATCAACCACGGGGCACGGGGCCGAGGTGCAGCCCGAACCTCTTGCTGGCAGGCTTGCCCTGGCCTCGAGGCGGGAAATGATGTATGTGTTGTATGTCGGACAGCGCGGCTTTAATTTCATGGCAGGAAGGCAACTATACGCGCAAACATGTCGAGGTCGGAGGAAAACTACTGTACAACGGATTGATGATGTGTTCCGACAAGAAGTCAACAACAAATATTACGCGCGCACGAACAAAATAGTAACTGTTGAAGACGTACAGAAGTAGCAGAGCATAGAACATTACCCATCATGGATGGTCAAGATAATGTCAAAAGAGCCAACAAAGAACGTATATGCGCGCCTCGGGCGTTCGGCTCGTAAAAGTGCGTGGTCCGGGGCTTCGGAGTGAACGCGATCATTCATTCATTCATTCACTCATCATTCATTCATTCACATAATTTTTATCCGATCTGTGAAACCTACCTCTAGAGACCGTGACGGTCTCGTAGAGGAATGGGAGAAATGGGCCCAGCCAAAGTACGATTCACACTTGCTTGGCGTAGAAAATCCATTGTGTGCCGAACCCCGTATTTCGCAAACATTCTCAACGTGACAGTCAGATGAACGGTCCGTGGTTTGACCACGTCTTGGAGTGGTGGGAGGCGGCCAACGCGGATCCCGAGCACATCCTGTTCTTGCACTACGAGGCCATGCTGGCAGAGCCACAGGAACACATACGGAAGATCGCGGAGTTCGCTGGCATCAATTACACGCCGGATATCCTTGCTAAGGTGATTGTTCATGATTGTTTTTCAAGAAAGTCACTTCAGTGACGAGGCCTTTGGAATAGGTGATGTGCAGTTTTCACCCACCCCGGGGTGGGTAGCGCCCGACGTTTTTTGGGGATGCGCGGAAATACTCTATATGCCAGTGTTAGGAAGCCTTAGTGTGTATCACGTCTGACTCTCCAGCCCCGCCCCTGCAATTAATATATACAATGAGACAAGTACACACAGTTGAGAACGTTCATCAAGTACTTCGTGAAGTGGAAACATAAGCGAGTCTCATGCGCCAGGAGAACTTTAACCCTGTTGAGGATTGACTAAGATGCCCACATGTTTTGACAGGAGCCGTGCCCACTACTGCTGTGCAATGAACATGTCCATCTCAACCGACGGCACTGGAGCTCTTCAGACCGCTTGTGCGCATGTATCTTCGTTCGCTCCGCTTTGCTTCGCTGCCTCCGCGTCAAACACGCCTTGTCACCGACCGATCGTCCGATCAACCAGGCGGACGCGGCTTCGTCTTTGTCGGCCATGAAGCGAAACCCTAAGACGAACTTGTACCCCTCGAAGAAGCACCTGCGGAAGGGAGGAGCAGGGGGGTGGCGGGACTCATTCACGGTGCGGGAGTCGGAAGCGTTTGACGAGATCTACCGGGAGCAGATGGAAGGATCCGGTCTTCGAATGGACTTCGGGGAGGGATTGGTCATGTGATCTTGCTGCATGGGTGATTCGGACCCTTCCTGCCTGACATGGTCGGCGTCGCCGTGCGGCATGTGGGACGAATGTAATCGATCGAACATTTCGGTTTCTGGGGTTACACGGCCTTTCGGTAGCCTCCCCAGAGTTATCGCATTTGTCACGGGTGGGTATCACTAACGTATTCTTAACCCGAATGGCACGGAAGAGAACGTGCTTCGCCTTCGTATCCCATTCGTGTCCTGTATTTTTGTTTGCCGTGTTCATGCAAACCGCGCATGGTGCTCTTGTCGTTGTATTGTGAGTTGCGATGTTAATTGTCTTTGTTGATGTTTTTTTTGTTGCTTTGTTGTTCTTGGTTTTGCGTGTCTTGTGGAAGCAATGTCCTTTCACTCTCTAATGTACTCATTTATCTGACAGCCTGCCTGAGATGCCTATCCGCTTGCTGCCTGGGATGTCTGCCTGTTTCGGGGGGCTGTTTTTTTCCGTTGTCTATTTTTTGCGCCTTTATTTATATTTTGGAACGTTGCGTTTGTTTGCTTGAACACGTATGTGCCCTCCGATATGCCTCGAAAGGGAACTAATCCACCCGATACTTCACGCCGCCATCTCATCTCTCTTTTTCTCTGAGGGACGAACTTTCGACAAAACCCTCTCGTGAAGTCGTTGGCATGGAGAGCGATCTCCATGCCAGTAGAGTAGACCGATATGCCGCCACTGGCTACGAGTGTTATCGCAATTGGGACAGTGATTGCGACCAAGTGCTAGAGGACCTACGAAGTCCACGCATGGATACACACATACGAAGACGCACCATTCCAACATCGACTCAGTACCACCTACGGAGCAGGAGCACAAACGAAGGCTCGAAAAGAAACCCCAATCACACACTGAATTCCCAGACACCACCTCCAACGGTACCCATGCCACACGAAATATCCCCCCAGGATTCCACAAAATCGATAGAGTCCCCCCACCAAAATAGCCACGATGAGAGCGATCGTTTGCGTCCCCCCACCAAGATAAAAAAAAAACACAACACAGAAGTCCTCTGGTAGGATGAAGACGGTCTTCCGCGAAAGTAACACGTTCCAGCTCTTGACGCGTCATCTCCGTTCTGGTCGCTGTAGCGCACCCGCCCGTAACGGTTTCGGTATCCAAACACCAGTCCCGTAAGGTTGAGCCCTCTGCCAAGGCATCTCTGGAAAGTAGAACCTATTTGGCAGAGACGCAGAACTTCACGGGCGGACAACGGTGCACGCGGTTGGGCGCGAGGAGTGAGTTGGGAAGCAAATTACGGGTAGTGCAGATGCCACAGAGCAATAAATCCATCCAACTGCAAGCGTGTGAACGTCTGTAGTAGCTTGGGCTTTGGCAACCACCAACTCTACCCCAGTGTAGGAGATAGCTTTATAAAGACCCTGAAGGTGAATGCCCTCGGCCACAATCTGATAGCAATACGAAGACTACCTGTAAAGGCCGTTCTGCAGGCGACGCAAAATCGGGCAACCGGTTACGTCTGCAAGAAACCACTGCAATCCGCGCGAGAGGTGGGTGGCCGTAACACCATTGTTTCCACTCTGGACTACTGGGTGTCTCGAAGGCGAAGCCCAAAGCTTGATAAAAGACCACGTAGTTCCTTGTGACCTCGGGCAAACGGTGTGCATCACAGGAACCAACGCGAAACTTGTTTGGGTACTCCCCTTCGTGTTACGTAGGCGATTGTTGCTGCTGGTCTCTCGCACTCGCACTAATGCTCGGTCGATGCTCCCTGACAGGCGAGATTTTGATCCGATCATGACCTGTTGCACGGTGCGTGGGCGGAGTATGCGAGCAATAAAAGTACGCAGCTTTTATGTGCCCGAACGGAAATTATTCTGACCCGATCATGACCTCCCCCCACGGGGAAGATAACAATTCACGGTGCCCGGGGGGTGGTGTTGCGGCCGCGGGATATGCCCCCTTGCTGAAGGCATCCAGAGGGTGGCTACAGCAACATGTTTGTCCCGCAACTGAAATCGGGTGTGGGGGAAAGTGTTGCACGGTGCGTGGGCGGATGCTTTCAGCAAGGGGGGATGTCGCACAGTCGTCACAACCCAGTTTCCCGTGGACCGCGAAACTAGCTTTCCGCAATGGGGGATGTCGCGGGTCTCGCAACACAGTTTTCCCGGGGAACGCGGACTATTGCTTTCCGCACGGGGGGGGGTGCCGCGGACACCACAGCACGGCTTTCTGAGGACACGGCGCCGATCGGAGCCGACCCACCCCGAGCGCGCCATGTTCCCGACAGGGGGAGGTGCTTTCGGCATGGGGGGGAGTTGCCCCTAAAAGAGGCAGTGGACACAGGGTCCACCACGAGCGGTCCACTGGGCGCTATGCGTGTCGAAGGGCTCGGACTCCCTCATTCGACGCCAGCAGGAGGATACCCTTCGAGGTCGGGTTTGGCAGGATCTAGAGAAGGGGGCAGTTCAGGTTAAAGTGTGGGTTCTGAGTTTTGAAGTGAGAGCGGCAAGCTTCTGATGTCCACCCCCGTGGTGGCCAATACTCTCCCTGTACTCCACACATTGCATGGACATGCAAGAGTAAGACCATTGTCACTAGTCAGAATCGCTTTCATTGGCCCGAACTCACACGAGACGTCCGTCAATAGGTGTTGTCTTGCAGCTACCGCCACCGTAAAAGACCTTCCAGTAGACACGCACCGACGCTACCGAAACAACTGCTAGAACCATGGGATGAACTTGAGATTGATGTACTCAAACGGATACGACCTAACTGTCTGGTGACGAATACATTCTTACTTGTGCTCCACCTGGAATCCAAATGCCTGGCACTTGTCGCCAAGAAATCCTTGGAGGATGACTGCAGGAGTCGTTGGCAGATGCAGAGCTTTGCAAACGCTGGACTGACAGATTGGATAATGTTCGACACCTCCATTTTACACTAACCTGATGACACCAACGCCAACCGTTCCCTTCTACGTTATACTTTGCATGATGCCACAACTTGTCACAACTTTCTCTCGCTCACATGCCAACACTAACAACCGCAACTGCTGCACATGTGTTCGTTTTATTTGGGGTCCTACTATCTTTCCACAGTATGCCCGGTAGGTGACCTGTTGCGGTCCGCATATTCCGCTTGTTGCGAACGTCTGATCCTTGCGTTATTCCCTGCGGCGATCGTCCTTTGTCCGTCGTCACTTCTTCCTACAGTTGGCGATCATTGCAAAGACTGCACGAACACGATGACATCAATAAATTGTCACCTGCTACACTAACCGTTTGTAGTTGGTACATTCATATGTTGCGTCTTGTTACAACGTGTCACATATTGCACACCCACATGCCAATCTAACACTAACACTAATCTGTGACCCTTCATATTTTGCTGCGTGTGCTACGATTTGTTTGTACGGTCATCTCGCTAGCCAAGTGTGCCTTTTTGGTTGCATTTCGTTGTCATTGCTTAACATACTTTGGTTCATTTGAAAACCGTTCGTGTCTCCGTGTACGCGCAACCCATTCAGACTATCCATTTTTATTTTCATTTTCATTTATTTTGCTACCTTTTCTTGTGTTGCACACATATTTCGGAATGATCAGCTGACTGACACAACCCATTCTTTGATTTACTTTTCGGCCGCTGCGTTTGCGGTTTATTGATGTGCCCAGGTCACGGCCCTACTAATCACGCTAACATGTGGTTTCATTTCCGTTCGGGCACTTGTCCACGAACCGCAACAACAACTCGACGCACTCGCCGGCGGGAACTGTTTTCCGCCTGCGGGATTCGTATTTCGCCGCCTTTTTTCGCCGTATATTGTGTAGTCCATGTTCCGGGTTTCCCTTGCTACAATTACAGGCTAGGCACACACCATTCGCAGACGCAACATCGATGGGTACGTAGCTTTGTCAATAACCTACTGAAGCATCCACCGCGGGCTAGTGTTCTGGACGGCCGTAGGCACCGGTTCTAAATGTTGGGATGATGGACACTTGCGACCGCGAGGCCAAGTGACCGGAGTACAATAGGGCGATGATGGACTCCTGTGGCGCAAGGCACAAGAGTCCGGAGCACATGTATCCCGATGATAGCCACTTGGGCATTTAAGCACAAGTGTCTGGAGGGGGGTCTGCGAAGGATAGATATAACCGTCCTTCGCAGTAATCATGGAACCAACGGCGCAATTGCCATTGGCCAACCAATCCCGCGCAATGATGAAATGGTTCCTCCGATGAGATATAGCACCTAGCTCTCATCAGTGACCATTGTGTCCGGAAACTGAGCACGAAACAATTGTGAACGAACCCGACCTGAGCGCTATTGACCTGATATCACAACTGTGAGTCACGACCACGTCAGCATGCATGCATACCTGACCGGATGGCGGAGTATCGCTGCTTGCTCGCTTGTGTTGATGATGCAACGTTTGGCACATGTCTACAATCGAACTCGCTAGCTATGATCTGCGCAGGTGAGAGTGTCTTTGCCTGGAATATCGTAGATTAGCCCTGTCAGTCTGTAAGATGGTACACGTGGCGGATAGAACGTAGACGCCAGCGTTGTTCATCACTTGCGTTGTCTCTTCGCAATCGCTGATTGATAAACGTGGCGTGGCACCAGTGTGTTCATCAATCTCGCCCCGTTCATGCATTTTGTCCACAAACATGCATAGACTATATGTATACATGATCACCGTTTTCTTGTATGTGCGGATGGTGAACGCCCGCCCTCACATTCTTTCCCCGTGCAACACCTTACCAAACTACTACTGGTCTGGTGTGTGCCACGTAATCTGTGAGGGGCACGACCCACCTATACTATGTTGTACTGCACCGATGTGCGCGCATGCCGGTGCTCCTACGGCTGTTCACGCAGCCGTCGAACAAAACAACAACACACGTCACTTTTGGGTTTGGTCATCATTTTTTTTTTTGTGTGTGTGGTGAGCGACCGACTCGCATCCATGCCCCTACGCGAATCTTTCCACGCCATTGGTCTGTGCCGTGTTA